CACTGCACTCCAGTCTGGGTGACAGAGTGAGACTCCAACTCAAAATATATATATATATATTGTCCTCGGGTAGAGGATGTACCAGATATTAAACTGACAGGAAAAGGTACTATACTTGATCTTAGCCAAAAGGCCGAGAAGCGATGGGGTTTTTTTTTTAACCATCTCTCCTCAAACACCCTACCCCTGTCTCCTTAGTTCTCTGGATTGCCTAGAAGTCATCAGGCAAGAGCTCCTTCACCTCTCCCCACCAACTCTGCAAACTCACCTAGTTTCACATTCTCCTTTGAACCTCCGGTGATGACGGGAGGTGTGTCCTGTCTTGCTTCTGAAAACCATCCCCTCCCATATTCTAGTGTCCCCTGCAGGTTTCCCCCATCCCTGCACCAGCAATCTTGCCTCTCACGCAGACCATGACCAGTACACAAACACACTCTAGCTGGGTTCAAATCCTGGCGTCACCACTTAGCATCGTCACGACCTTGGACAAGTTGTGCATACTCCATATGTAAAATTGAGGTAAAGTATCTTCCTTTTAGGGTTGTTGTGAGGGTTAGATAAGACCAAGCAAGCACTCATAAACGATAGCTAAGACTAAAATAATGTTGCCAACAGCACTCAACTTTCCCTTGATCCACATCCCCCTCCACCTACTAGCCTATCGCTCTGCTCCTTGTCACGGAGAAACTTCTGGAAAGGGTTGTCTCTCTCTCCAATTCTTTATTTCCCTTCTCTTCTTAACCCAGTGCATTCTGGTTTCCATCCTAACTAAGGCTCTAGAACCACCCTTGTTAAGGTCACAAGTTGACTTTTATGTTACCAAACCCAGTCCTCATTTCTCTGTTCTCATCTCATGTGATCTCTCAGCTGCCTTCAACACAGCCACATCCTCCTTCTTGAAATAGTGCTTTCTCTTAGAGTGCAGAACACCACCCTCCCAGGGTCTCTTCCCCTCTCTCTGGCTGCTTTTCAGTCTCCTCTGCTGGTATCCTTCTTCTGCTCCACTTTAGGATGTCTAAGAGCCTCAGGGCTTCATTTGTGGGGCCTTTCTTTCCCCTGGTGTCTCTTCCAATCTTGTGACTTTAAATACCATTTATATGGCCATGACTCCTAACTTTATACATCCTGACCTAGCCTAAGCTAGTCCACTAGGTCCAGTCATCTATTTGTGGAATTTACTTTAGTATCATTTATCCATGTGTTTATTTTTGAGTCAGGGTCTCACTCTGTTACGCAGAATGGAGTGCAGTGGCATGATGATAGCTCACTGCAGCCTTGAACTCCTGGTCTCAAGCAATCCTCCTGCCTCAGTCTCCTAAGTAGCTAGGACTATGGGCACACACCATCACACCAGCTATTTTTTTTTTCTTGTGGAGATGGGATTCACACTATGTTGCCAAGGCTGATCTCAAACTCCTGCCTCAAGCTCCCAAAGTGCTGGGATCATAGGTGTGAGCCACCACACCTGGCCTTGTTTATTTAAGGCAACTCAAAGTTAGTCATTATTTTACCTATTTTACATACCTCCCAACCCCACCTTAGGAAATGACACAGGTATTCCCAGAGATACCCAAGTTAAAAATCTAGAAGTCATTTGTGATTCCTGTCTTTTTCTTATTCTTTACATCCAACCACAAGCAAGTCCTATCTTCAAGCCACATGCTGAATCCATCTACTTCTCTCCATCTCTGCTGCCAATCCCCTCGGCTGAGCCTCTCACATGTCTCGCCTCCCAGCCTGTCACAGTAGAAGGACATTTCAGGTGAGGGAACAGTAAGTGCTAAGTCCAGAAGAGGCACGCTGTGGGGCAAGGGTGTCGGCTCAGCAAGCATGGAGAATGTATTTGTTAACAGGAAAATGAAGATGAGACCAAAACATTGTGGAGAGAGGCTAGCAGCCAAGCACATAAAACAATGAAAGTGAGGTTTAGGGGGGTTAGCTTAGCAGCATAGGTGGGACAGAGTAGAGGGTGGGGAGAGTGTGGGATGGAGAAGGAGCAAGGGGCTGTTGGGTTTGTGGTCCTGAGGTGACAGGGCTGAGGTGGGGGGGGTATAAAAGGGAAAGAAGAGTGGACACTAGCAATGTTTTGAGAACAAACGATCAGAGCATGAAGGTTCATGGAATATGAAGGGGAAAGGAGAGAAGAGAATCAAATGCGATGCTTGGAGGAGAATGAGGGCTGAAAGAGAAAGCTGGGGCTAGTGGTTTGTTGGGAAAACTGGGCTGGATTCTGGAGAAGGGCAAGGGTCTTTCTGGGGTCCCATGCCTAGGTGGCAGAGAGAACCAAACCCTGAGGACCTTCATGAACAGGCTTCTGAGATTCCGAGACTGAAGGCAGGGAAGGAGGTGGGAGGTCAAAGGTTTTAAGGGGCCCCTTTCTTAGAAGGCCAGTGCTATGGGGGGATGGGGTCTCACCCGCCTGTGCTCCATCCTGTCCAGGTCGTTGGTGAACTGTAAGGCACAAGAAAGGGATGGTGAGACCTGTCCTGCCCCTCTGCCAGCCCTCCTCCCAGGCAGGGCTCACCCATCACCCACCTTCATAGTGGGCTGCAATCACTCTGCGAGCCCGTGTTTTCCGGCCTTTAGGTGCTGAGAATCAATGAAAGACAAATGAGCAAAGCAGGTGCCTTCTGGGGGCCCGGAAGCCTCTCCCCCAACCCTGTTCCCCTCTCAGGGACCCTTGCATCCTTATTCTTGTACGGACTCCTGGCCTCAGAATCTTGGGCTTCATCCTCCTCCCTAAGTAAAATGACTATATAATTTATATCTATCCTGGGATACTTCTGAGAGCAAAATGAGAGGCTATTGATAACCACACTGAGATAACAGGTGTAAGCCAGGACAGACCACACAAACCTGGATACATGGTCTTCTCATTCAAAAGTCTCTTTGTCTATGAGGGCCCAGGACTCTGACTACCCCCCTGGGCCTAACTCCTAACTCCTGGGCATCCCTTCTTCATGTTTAGGATAGGGTCTGAAGGAGTACATCCATGTCAGAGGGAGGGTCAGAATCCTCTGAGTCTCGATTGGTTAGCTGCATGACTCTGAACCTCCTTTGCTCTCCGTGCCTCAGTTTCTCCATGAGGACAATGGTTTTTGCTCTGCCTGCTTCATGGGGCTATTATGATGAACAAAAGCAAGACTGGCCACTATTATTATTCCTGAGGTTGGAATAGAGAGAGAGATGCTCACCACTTCTGCGAGGCCGAACTAGTCGGTTCAGGAAAGGCATGGGATCCTGACTTTCCTCTGTCTGGGGATTCAGTTCCTAAGGGATAAAAGGGTAGGACTCAGCCAGGGACTCCCAGTGACATAAACTGAGATGGACAGGGCCTGCCAGGAGAGGTATCAGCCAGCAATAGGCACAGAAGTCTTAGGGACAGATTAAACCCCTCAGCAAAGTATAGCTGGGGCTATACTTTGGAAGGCAAGGTGTGGGAGTCCAGCCCCAATCCTCACTCCTTCTGCTAGGCTAGCCACACTTTCCTACCCTCCCAGCCAGCACAGACCCTGCACTCAATTGGCACATTGCACACACACCCACACCCAGTCAACATGCACAGCAGGTACACACCCTGTACACAACAGCATCTCTCTTCCATGGCAGGCTCACATAGCTCATACTCCCACGTCACCCACAGCCAATAAACACGGCGGACTCAGATGGCACATCCCCAGCACAAACCCTTACACACAGTTGTCACCCTCTCTCCCACACACACACATACCCACGCGGACACACACTCATGCATGCACTGTCTTCATGCACACTCGGCACATACCTAGAACACAGCTGGCTCGCCAGCACGCACCCCGCAGCCTCAGCTGCGCACACTTCCCATGCCCCAGCAGGCTGCAGACAGTGCCCACACCCACTCACCGGCGGGTCCTGGTCCTCCTCTGCCACCAGCTCCCCCTGGGAAGGCTCCTGCTGGGAAGGAGGCAGCGTCACCCTGTCCTTCTCCACCTGACGTCTCGCCCTCCACCCGTCCTCCGGTCCCCTTGCCCTCAGCCCACCCGGCGCCCAGCGGCTCCTCTGCAGTGTCCCCTCCGAATGTGCCCAGAAAGGGGTGTGCAGTGGGGCCTCACCTGGGCAGACAGCGATGCCCGGCTCCCCAGGCTGACCACGGCCAGCAGGAGGCCAAGGCAGGCCAGCGCCAGGCCCAGGCCCAGCACGAGCGGGGCCAGCAGGGCGGTGCCCGGCTCCCCCCGGCGCCCCCTCCGCCTCTGGCTCCGACGG